GGCACAAGATCAAGTTACCACTTGTACGATTGTACCACAATCCCTGCAAGTTCTTGCCTGTGAGCTGAGCCACGGTGACCACCCAACTGCACAACCTTAGCCTGTGACAAGCACAAAACAAAGTGTCTCATTGAACACATTTTCACCACCAATGAGGCTACTGCAGCTCAAATGAAGCTGAGTGGAACCTCATGCTAGTCACAGACCAGGTACTGGGGACATCAGTGTTTAAAATCCAGCAAGTGATGTACAAGATTTCACCAAAACAGCAAGAGTAGGGATAACCTACAGGTGACTCTGAATACAGATTTTGAAAAGAAATTAAAGACTTCTACAAGAACGAGATACATGTCTGCTCTCCAGATCATCCCACCTCACATCTTCATCACCTCCCCATATGCTGTACACACATGCAAGTCTGTGATACAACATCAATCACCATAAAAAGTCAGACAGACTCTGAGTTACTCAGTTAACACTTGGGAGATATTGCAAAAAAGGAATGTGAAAGGAAAAATGAGTTACAACTTTAACTCTGGGGACTTTGCCATCTTAAGAAAGAAAAACAAAAGTGATGATGCACCCACAGAAGAAAGAAGTTTTCCAAAAGGGGAAATTTCTGTGTTTCCTTTCTGAGATTTGGCTTTGAGGAAAATAGCATTAATCTAATATGATGCAAATAAATAGTATGGATCTCTTCTGGTGAAAACAAAGGGAAAATCCTGGGGAAGGATGGTGTGGCCATGGCATTAATGATGCTGTATCTCAGCTTGGTATCTCCAGTGCAGTGCAAGGCTAAGCACGACACAGGAGCACATTTTAAGTGCAGTTTTCTAATCAGAAAAGCTTTTAAAGAATACCTGGCCAGTGCCTGCTGTGGCTGCAATCAGATTTCCTTTAAATTCATCAAAGACTGAGCTTTCAAAGGAGGAAAGATCCCCATAAAATCTGCAGAGCAGGACTGCCAACAGTGAGGCACAGCCAGCTGTGCTCTCAGTTCTGGGCATCTGCAGCTGGGTTGGAAACACACACAAAAAAAAAAAAAAAAATCCCTGCCTGGTCCTGCCTTCCCAGGGCTTTTGCCAGGATCCTGGTGGGCTCCCACTGGGGAGAGACCCCCTGACACAGACATAACACCCTCCACCAGAAAGTGCTGAGCCAACATCCAGGCACCAGGATTCTAATCTACACTTGTATCCCCTCCTTGATTTTTATTGTTCTGTGCCCATTTTCTACTGTTTTTGGGACAACTGAATAGGAGGGAATGCTAAAAAGCATTCCAACCACATTAAATCAAATTAAGCATTTGGGGAAATAAGTTCTTGCTTTCTGGAGACTCAGAAAAAATGGGATGGCAGGGCATGGATGGATTTTCTGCAATTTTCTTGTTACCTATGCTTAGAAGACTGATACATTTTTTTTTTCTTGTACTTCCTACAGCCTGTTTTGGTTTTATCAACTATCCTCAAAAAAACCCCCAAACCTAAACAAAAAAACAAAGCTATAAAATAAAACCATGTTAAATCAAAGGCCATAACAAGCACATCTTGCAAGTATCAATAACTCCATGTACTGAAAGACCTGGGAATGCTTAAACTTCAGTTGCAATTTTAAGTAGCATGTTCTTCAAGCTACCATTGAAATAGTTATCAAATTCTCCCTCTCCAAGATAGGCACCAGCAATATAAATCAGAATTTTTTAAAGATCCAGGGAAAGGAAGACCAGTGGCTTTGGGGAAAATCAAACAGAAGGAGTGATTAAAGTAGATTCCAGGAGGCAATAAAGCATTTATGCAAAATGTCTCATAATAACAAATAAATTAGGGGAAAGCAGCTGTATGGGGGGAGTGGGGGAGAGGTACTTACACTCTTCTTCCATAACAACTATTTTAGTTTCTGAGGCTGGTAAGACTTGTGGTGCTTTCGTTGTTCCTGGGGAAATTAAGGTAAGAAAGTAGTGAACAAAATATCTCTTTTGAGCAGAGGAGGGTGGGCTTAGCTACTGTGGGGAGGAGCAGAGGGGCAGGTGCTGCTGTGGGGCACAGGCTGGGAGCTGGTTTAGGGCAGGGGATTGGGGTGACAGAGGCAGGACAAGGAGTGTCCCTGCAGGGGATGGCACAGGGCACGGTGTCCCCTCGCTGTGAAGGGCCTCGTGTCACCATAAAGAGGCAGAGATGGCTCAGGGCTCACCTGGCAGGAGATGAGCGAAAACGTGGGAGGTTTTCTTAGCCCTGATGGCCACAAGAGTGCAAAGATGGGATGGCAGGACATGGCAGTGGGGAAAATGTGGAGTTTAAGAAAAGGTGGGATTTCTGAAAAGCCTCCATCCCACGGTCATGTGAAGTTCTGCAGCACAAATAAATGCTCGTACAAGAGCTGGAGGAACAGGAAACAGATGAAGGACAGCACCCCAGGTATTAGGGGAGACAAGCAAGGGGAGTGATTTCCCCTTTTTTAACCAGGATCCTGGGAACCCCAATGCCCACAGACACCAGCTCTACTCAACCTAGCTGACAGCACTTTTGGAGAAGTCCCTCACACCCTCTGGGTGCACAAAGGAGAAAGCCCCAGGAGCCTGGGCTGGGGGTGCAGTGCCTGCCAGAGACAGGGCTGGGACCACCACAAAGAGCTAGAAGCAGAAAGAATTTTTTGTACAACTTGATTTTTCTGCAGTGTTTGATAAGGGGCAGGGTAGTTGAGGAGATGCCTAGAAATTTTTTGAGGAATAAAAAGAATCTGAAACAGTCACACCTCAGCTGTGCCCTCATGGACATGTGATATTAACATTATAGACTATTTAGTCCTGAGAACTGGGAAACGGTACATTTTTCTAAGAAAGCATCTATTTCACTTCAAAGTCATAAAATCTGCAATATATTGCAGTACATTTTGACTAAGTCCAGAAGCATTTCCTCAGAAATTAACACCCTCACAAAGTTTCTCAATGCAAAAGCATTTATTTCTGAGCTGGGAGTTTTGTGGAAATGCTGGAATTGTAGAGGAGGGATAAGGTGAGGGTTTGGCTGAGGGGCATTTTCTAAGTGCCAAGGGGTCTCTGCCCTGCAACCACTCTCCCTAAAGATGTGGTGGTTTTGGTGACTTGCAACCAGATCTGTATGGCTGAAAAGCTGCTTTTCTGAAACTGAAAAGTGGAATTGGAATAGAGCAAAGAGCACTTGGCAATGAAAGCCACAACAGGATCAGTGCTAAGGATCCTGGGGAAGAAGAAACAGGGAACAGCACATGTGTGGATGCAGATGCCCTGAGGAGTTTTCTACTGAAAGGTATCACAGAAGAAGGGAACTTGCAGAAGTGAGGAAAGCTTGCAAGGCCCCAGGAAGGCCCAGCAGTAAGGGGAGAGGAATACTCTGGGCCAGCACCTGCCTGCATTCTGGGAAGGCTGCTTAGCTCTGGGTAGCTCCAGGGGAAAGAGGGAAACAGAGTGCAAAGGGGTGACAGGGGCACAAAAGCCTCCAGGGATCAGCATCACCTCGGCTGCCCTGGCAGGGGGCTCAGCTGGCCCTGCTGTCCTGGCAGGTGCTGCAAACAGCAGCAAGGTGTGCCTGCAGCTGAGCAGGGAGCCAAGGGCAGAGTGGCAGGGCAGCAGAGAGCCTGGGTTCATCCAGGCAGGGAATCCAGCAGATTCCCAGCGAGATCTCTGTGTGTTTTTCATGGGTTTTCAGGTCTTAGCACATTTCAGGGCAGCTCAGGTGTGAGCCCATCCCTGCTGAGAGGGTCCTTCCTGAGCAGGGGAGCTGACCCCTGGCATGTGCTGCCTGCCCTGCAGTGGCCAGGTGTGCATTTACCTGGTGTGGAGGTCAGAGCTCTGCAGCAGGCACTGCTCAGCCACGCTCCTCCTCTTGTGACAGGGGTGCTGGTGCTGGGGAAGGGGCAGCAGAGGAGGCAAACAGGGCTTTGATGGCTGCACAAAGGGAAGGGAGGTTGCACATGCAGCTCCCATCAAACAGGAGTAGTTTATGTGGGACAGTCAGAGAGTGAGCCAAGAAAAAAAAAAAAACAAACGAGAGCACTGCCTCAATTTCTTACTCAGGACACCTTTCCTATCAGAACTGGACACAAACCCAGCAGAGCAGCAGGGCTGAGTTCACAGACATGGAGAATGAAGGCAGGGAGGTGTGAGTATGGGTGGCCTCCCTCCTGACCCTGCCAGCACTGGGATTGAACAGGCAGGATAACCGAGGGGGAGGCAGTGTGATGCTGCAACTTCACGAAATAAAAGATTCAGGATGACAAACACACCGAGGTTGAGAGAGAAAATACTGCCAGAAAGCAGCAGGAGAAAGCTACCTTCCCTCACACTGGGATAAGGCTGGTGAGAGAACAAAAAACTGGATCCCAGCAAGGGCTGCAGAGCCCAGAGCCAGAGCCCAGCGCTCACAGCCCAGGCTGCCACAGTGCCCGTTGTGAATGGCAGGAGGAAGAGCTTAGGAAATAGTCACCCCCTCCCTAGATGTGCCCTCCCAGCTTCTGGCAGCCACTGTAGGGACTTTCTGAGCCGGAGGGTGCATCCAAACCATCGTGTTAAGCAATATAATTATTATGACCAAGATAATAATAAAACCACCTAACCTCAGACTCCATCCGCTGAGCTCTAAGAGATGGAGCACACACTCTAGGATGAAAACCAGAAGCAACTTCACTCATCACAAAGCTATGGTCTAATTACTTGTCTTCTGGTGAGTTTTGCATCTCAGAAATTCTTTAAAAAATGAAAACATCAAGCTCACCAGCTTTCTTTCCTCCTTACCCCTTCTTAAAAAAATACATAGACTGTAAGTTTATTTAAAATGTAAATTAACCACATTGCCAGTGACAGATAACAAAGATAAACATTTATGCTAAGCTGCATTTTTCTTATCTCCCAAGATTGTTTTACTCTATATCCTGAAAGCATGAAACAAAATTCAAGACAGACCATGTGCAGAACCTTTCTGTGGAATGGCAGACAGCTCGAGACATTTGCTGGCTTCTTCACTTACCACTTTTCACATTCAGGCTGCCTTTTGCGGTGTCTTTCCCTAAAACGTTCTCCGCTTCGCAGCTGTACTCCCCAGCATCTTCAAGCTTCACCTTGTTGAACTGCAGTCTGGAAATCTTTCTGTTGAAAAGTACAGCAGACATTTCTTACTCGATTGCTGACCAACCTCATGAAGTGACAACCATTCCTGGCCCTGGGATGCTGCCTGGAGGGTCACCCCTGCTTGACAGGATGGGCTGCCTGAGCTTGCTGAACAGGCACTCAAGCCTGGATAGGATTTGGACAAGTCCCTTCCCAAGATCTCCTAAGTGAACATCTCCCTCTGAACCCACTGCTCTGAGCGTGTTGTGTGGTTTGGTCTGACACCTCCTCTCATTCACACAGAAAGTCTCGTGAGGAGTTGAGGCCCAGGGTCCCAGCACTCCAGCACAGGCTCTCCACACTGGAAAAAAGCCAATTTACTGATGGACAGTGGGATCTGCCTGCCAGATGGAGATGTGGAGAGGAGATGCCTGTTCTGCACCTCCCTCAGCGGGGATGCTGAGCAGTCAGTGCTCCACCGTCTGCGTTCAGCAGTGCCACACACTCAGCACAAACACCCACAGCACCCAGGGGGACTCACCCCTTGCCAGCCTGCACATCCAGTCCCTGGGTTTTGCCCTGGACATATCACTGACAGCTTCATCTCGACCTTAAAAAAGGGGCAAGCACCTCGTGTCCCCCAAATCCACACTCCAGTGGACTACAGACGTGTGTGGCTGAGCTGCACACACTCATCTTACCAACCAGACGCGCCTCGAAAGAGCAGGAGAGGGTGGGTGTGACAACTGCCTGTGCCATCTCCCAGCCTGTGCCACCTCCCAGCCCGTGCCACCTCCCAGCCTGTGCCACCTCCCAGCCCGTGCCACCTCCCAGCCTGTGCCACCTCCCAGCCTGTGCCACCTCCCAGCCTGTGCCACCTCCCAGCCCGTGCCACCTCCCAGCCCTGCTGCTCCTCCATGGGGAAGGAGAGCTCTGCGGCAGAGCTCTGCGGCGCTGCGGGAAGGAGCATCGCCTTTCCCACTGGCTGTGACTCATTCTCTGGGATGGCTCTGACTAACAGGCAAAACCTTTTGTTGCCCAGTTTAACAGGGATCTATAGGAGCCTTCAACACACACGGAGTGTCACTCATGAGACCGCAGTGGGACTCCCGTGAGACCCTCTGTTTTACTACATTTTCTTCCGTTTTAGCCATCTTATCAAAAGCCACCTTGTCTGCTCTTCTCATGAAAACATCTCTGTTTGCATTCTACCCCAAGCTTTTACCTCAGGTCTGTGTCACTTTATTTAGAGACTTGGAAGCGCTGCCAGCTTTAGAAAGAGGTCTCAGTGGCCGATGTTGCTGAAGGCAAATATAATTCCATTTATGTGGAAAATAATCATTAGCCTTGGACATAGCTGCAATGTTACACGTGTCATCCGAGAAGGACTTTTCTTTGGGATGTGCAAATCATTGTCCATAGGAAGCCCTTCACAGAAGCACACTGGCATCTTTTTAACACCCTGACAAGCTGTTCTCCTGGGAGGCACGGCGCAAGGACACAGCAGGAACATCTCACTAGTTATATTAGTAAATTAAAAGCACTTGGAGATGACTTGGTAGAGCTCCCAGGAAACAGGCGCTGCCCTGTTTTACAGGATGCGGTCAAGTGCTCAATTGCATGAGCTGGGGCCACATGTGGAGCAATTTTTAAATGAATGTTGACAGTATGCAAAGACCTCTTGAATCCCTCTGACTGTAGGTCTCCCCTAATCCATTTGTGCAGTGACTTGGGCCAACACATTCCAACATGGAAGCCTAAACAAGAGGGGTGATTCTGCCTTGACTCCCAGTGCAGCACCATTCTCTGAGTGTTCTCAAGTCTCTCAGCACAGCCTGTGACAGCCCTGGGCATCGTGGCCCTCACTTGGTAACGCTGCCTTGGGAGCCAGGTAACGCACAAGTTACCTGAGAGAGGTATTTAAGGACATTTCAGGGCATCCAGTGCCTGTTGCTGCCCTGTGCCTGTTGGTTCCTGCACCTTGCTGGGAGGGATGAAGGGTGCCTGATGGGGGCCTGGGCTCTGCTGGGCTGCAGCACCTTGTTCAGGAGCACGTTCCCCACTCCCTCCATAGAGGAGCGTGTGGAAATGCTCATCAAAAGAGCGAGATGGCTCCAGAATGCAACTCCAAGACTGCTCCCAGCCCAGCCATTACTTTCTCCCAGCTGTCTCAACCCTCTGTGCCAGAATACACGATTTGTTTTACAAACCAGCTCTCGGACAGGCTGCAGTGCAGGCAGCACATGCTGAAAGCAGCTTGGAAGAGCAAGGCTCTAACTCAGAGTCCATAGAAAACACCACCCTGGCACATCAGCACGCTGGGGCTCTCTGCCAGGGCAGAGCTGAGAGCATCAATGGACAGGCTGCCTTCAGCTGCCAGAGCACAGATGTTCTAATGATAATTGGCTGCATGGCAATCTCAATCCACAGCACATTTCACCAGGTGGAGCAACTGGAAAAATCCACTACTGCATTATATCACCTAGGTATGTGATCTTTTACAGATAAGGGGGTGTAAGTCCCAAAGATATGAGTTAGGGAGTGGCACAAAAGGAGCCACACTTGACAGACTCAGCTCCAACAACATGGTGAGAGACACTTGGTCTTTTACCTGGAACTGGAGAGGAATGTGAGCAGAATAAAGAGTGATGTTGGCATTTGGAGTATAGCAACATCAAGGTGAAACCAAAGGGGATTACTTTGTTTTAATGCACAAGACTTGTACTGTCAAAAGAGCTTATTTTTGCCATCACAATTTGTTGAAATTATCCTGGACTGGAAGATCCCCTTGAAAAATCAAGAGCTTTTTCTTGCTTTTCATTGCCCAGGCCAATGGTGTGGCACCTCTTGGTCTCCACACTGTGCTGTATAATGTCTGGTGACAGACTCAGGGGAAAGGAGATGAGAGTTGGAGATATGGATCAGCTTTCATGTGGAACATAAGTGCAAAGAGAATTTCCCTATTCCAGAAGCACTAAAACAGCCAGAGAGATACCGTGCTTCACAGCATTAACCATGGGCCTTTTAATTAACATGGAAAATGCCTGTGCACTGGAAGAACTGAGCTGAAGCATGTCAAAGGGACAAGTCCTTGCCTGATCCGTGTGTGCCAAGGGTGACCACTCTGGTTTTGTTCTATTCTACTATCTCCAAGTGCACCTGAAATATCACAACACTCCTTTGGAAATCAGCTTTTCCAAGTTGTGTTCTTTGCCCTGCTGTCCCCAGGGGCAGGTACTGTGCTCTCCTGAGGGCTGATTTCACAGAGACACCAAAGAGTGGCCTCCAAGGAGTTACACTGGGCACAGGAGTGTGGGATGAAGGCTCCTGGGGACAGAGGCCCTGGAAGAGCCCTACATGTGCGTTCACAAGGGTGCCTGGCTGCCAGACGATGCCATTCTTCTGGAGGAAGGCGCTGCCCCGGGCTGTTTGCTCAGTGAAAGGGCCAGGGTCACTGACAGATCCCATCATTTCGCTGCAGTGCAACCCTGTTGACATCTCTTTACTCCGGGGGAAAATCTGCCTCATTGTCTTCCCTGACCCTCAGCACATATGACTTAGCCACGCACTAATTATCTCCTGTAGTGCCAGTGGAGGGATAAGCCACGGGGAATATGCTGTCTGCAAGCTCTGAGGGATAGGATTCACAAGGAGACCTTCAGCCTGGCCAAAAGAAGATCCCCCAAAATACCTTTCTGGCCAAGAGAAAAGAGTCCCCCAGAGGGCAGTTTGGAGGGATGAGTAAATCACCCTCTTCGGTGCCAATCTCCAGACTACAATGGGAAACAAGGAGATCAGCCCTTGGCCAGGACCTACACAAAGATCCTGGCAAATTCTGGCTGGGAAGGGTGTCCTCATCGGCTGTAATTTAGACATCTAAATGTGAGCTCAGGCCCTGAGGCCTCCAGTACAGTGAGAGGAGAAGAAACAGGCCCTGCATCTGAGCCAAGGAGGAACTTCCCATGACAGCACTCATGTTCCCACCAGCACTTTGGTCAAGCTTGAATCATTCTTCCCCTCTTACCTACTGCCAAGTGGAAATGGGGCCATCTCCCCAGGTCATCTCCTCACCAGGCCATTCATGTCAGAGCATGGGATCAGGAGAGCAGCTGCCATCAGCTGCCCCCGTGACACCTACACTGAGGACTCCGTGTTCCCTGGGTGAGTCCAGCCACTTCTGCATCGTTCTGGACAAGAATAGCTCCAGGATTACTACTGTTGTAGTGGTTTATTAACCTTCTAAAAACAGGGTAGCTAACACATAAGTAACAAAGAAGTCAAGGAATGAGGTGATGAACAGAAATTGGAGACTACCCTATATGTAGCCCCAAAATTGTCAATGAAGAGCACTGCACATAGTAAACACACCTGGAACCCTAGGAAAAGGAAATTCCCAAACATGACCCTTGCAAAGGACACACTGGATGCCCTGCTGTGGTCACCCATTAACTCCATTCCCCTCTGTTCTCATGGAGAGCCAGCAGCAGGAAGTACACTGGTATTGACGAGAGCAGGAGTGCCAGCAATTGCTGCTGCATCCTGCCAGAGATTTAATTGGTGCCTATGTGCTGCCCTGGCACTCTCACCGAGCTGCATTTGCCCTGAAAGAGCAGGTTAATGATTGGCAAGAAGATTCAGGATATCCAGCTTGCAAACCACAAGTGCTGTCCAGCAGCCATCAAACACTGGGCAGCCCCACTGGGGCTCGGGGGGGACACGTCCATCATCCCCAGCACTCGGTGAGTTAATTCAGGCAGAGGGAATCATTGCAATGCAAAGGCAGTGTGGGGATGGCCATGGCAAAGCCGCTTTGTCTGGCAGGGCAGGAGCAGCCAGGAGCAGTCTCTCCCTTGCACAGGCTCCCTGATCTCTTCCCTACCCTCCAGCTGTGCTCAGCAGAGCACAGCAGAGCTGGGCAGGGCGGCTGTGCTCGCAGTGCTTCAGGAAAACAAGTGTCCAATGCTGGCTGCTCTGTGCTCCAGAGCATCATCTGGCCAGCTCACTATCAGCTACAGAAAGAACAAATGGGAAAGGGGACA